AATCCAGACATCTAGGGTACCTAAGTAATTCTTGTTTTTTTTTTGTTGCTGTTGTTTTGAACAGAGTCTCATTCTGTTGCCCAGGCTAGAGTGCTGTGGCGTCAGCCTAGCTCACAGCAACCTCAAACTCCTGGGCTTAAGCGATCCTTCTGCCTCAGCCTCCCGAGGAGCTGGGACTACAGGCATCTGCCACCATGCCCAGCTAATTTTTTTTCTATATATTTTTAGTTGGGCAATTAATTTCTTTCTATTTATAGTAGAGACGGGGGTCTCGCTCTTCCTCAGGCTGGTTTCTCAAACTCCTGACCTTGAGTGATCCTCCCGCCTCAGCCACCCAGAGTGCTAGGATTACAGGCGTGAGCCACCTTGCCAGGCACCAAGTAATTTTTAAGAGAAAGAAGGATGGAGGATCATTGCCTTAATGGAACAGTGGCTTTTTAGTCCTTGATGTGAGATATTTCTGGGTAGGTGGTAGAGATTCTGCAGACCCCTAAAATCTCATCAGCTTTTGAAAGATGATATAGGGAAGTAATGGAAACTACATGGTGACTTGGGTTTGAGTCCTGGTTCTGCCTTGACATTAGGCAAGTCACTTAATCCTCTGTATCACAATCTTCTCAGCTGTAAAACTGGAATGCTGATAATATTAATAACAATACCTCACTAGGTTGTTGTGAGAATCAGATAAAACTATGGATGTGAAAGCATTTATATCCTGCCAGGGACAATCAATGTCTGCTGACACGAAGGAACAGTGTTTAGTCATGAAAAAGAAATGTCTTTATTTGGAAGACACAAATATTCCCAAAAGAATGATGGCTCTCTGAGAGACTATACCAGGATTTCTGGTGGAGGAGGAGGTGAGGTTTTTATGTTTATCAAAAGGAATCTTGGGTTAAAAAAGAAAGGACTGAGAAACACAGTTTTAAATCAGAAGTCTGGAACTTCATTCTCTCTATTTCTCACTTATTATGTGACCTTGGTCAGGTCCCTAAGTTTTTAATATACTTGTTTCCTCATCTGAAAAATCCAGTGCTAATATTGGAAGGCTCACTGAGTCTAATTTGTTAAAATATTTTTCATAGCAACTCACAATGTTCACAATGCACAATGCTGGCAGAGTCAAGTATAAAAGAAAAAAAAACAGTTTTGCATAAAATGAAGACATAAAAAGTTTTGTGCCTTCAGCTCTGTAGTTCACAAAAGGTAAATAACTCAAGGAGTTAGCTTCTCAAGTGAAGCTATTTGTGCTGGAAAATTGCACTTGACATTTTAAAGGCACCATTATTAACCTGTCAGAGAAGAAAAAAGCTGAAAGTAGGTGTAATGTGGCAGTGTTTTGTTCCAAAGAGCTGATAAGCTGTGACCACAGGTATTTGCCATCACTTTCCTGCTAGAGGATTCATTTTATCACAGGGTAAATGTCAAATGGCTCTGTGCTTCTGAATTCAAACTTGAGTGGATGGCCTGATAGGAACCTGACCAGAGAGAGGGTATCTATATAGTGCCAAGTGGGCGAAAAAGTCCTAGAGGGCCTCTGGAGCCCCATCACTCTTTGCAGGGGCAGAAGCCTAGCTCTGCTCCATCTTATGGCTACCCAGACACACCCTGGAGCAAGGACGCTGTCCCAACCTGTGAATTTCAGGTCAAGGAATATACATTTGTAAAACAGAATATGCTTCTTTGTCAAACAGTCCAGTGGTTCCTAAAGAATGATCCTTAACATTTGAACCATTCCCAACACCAATGTTACTTTGTTAAAACTTGACACCCATCCATTCCCAAATACCACTTAGGAAGTTTTGGTATATCCCCGTGTATAAATTCCCCAGTCTTACCCCATCAAAGAGTCCAGCCCAAAAAGTTAGTGTCCTAATCCATGCTTGTTGGGTGCTGATCTCCATATACTCTAGGTAAATTTTGACTCACAAAAGCGTAGTTTTTCTGCTGCCTTCCGAAAATGCCAAAAATAAAGAATAAAAAATAAACCAAAAAAGAAAAAAAGCATAGTTTTAGAGAGATGAATTGTAACTACCAAATTTGTGTGCCGTGTGATGAAACCGTCACCAGGCTAATGCCAAAGCCACATGACCCTTGTTCACACTGCTGAGAAAAAGTTAAACTAAGCTGTGTACAGCTCCCTCTGTTTTGTACTTTCTAGGGCAAAGTCTATACCCTGTTAATCAGACAACTCCTGGGAATTGCTTCTGGGACACTCAGCTGGATTAATCATTGTATAAATTTGTGGGATTTATGTCTATTAACAATCACCTGTTTGTAAATTTTAATTTGCTCTGCTTATGTGTAGGATTTTATGAAGTCAACATCCTAGGTTTCTGCCAAACAAAAGATTGGTGGAAGGTAAGTACTTAATCAAATATTTACTGAATTTCTACTATAGACTCAGCCCAAGTATATAATGAAGTATCTGCCTTCAAAGAGCTTATAGTCTATTTGGGAATACAAGGCTAAATACACAAAACATCCACCCATAAATAAAGTTAAATGTTAAATCATTCTGGAAATAATAGAAGGATATTCTCACATCATCATACCACTAGCATATAATTTTGTTTTAGTTACTGTCTTGTCCTTCCCCACTAGAAGTTCCTTGAGAGGAGGAACATTTTTTTATTTAAAATAATGAATACCAGTTGGTGCTCAATAAATATTTGTTGACTGAATGAATGAGAAGACAACTCCCTAGAATAGACACAGAAAGGGAAGGTTTCCTGGGGTGGTGCCCCCAGCTGAGCCTTAACTACATTCGTACTATGCATGCTTTATAGCAGTCCATAGATTTTAACAAACCTCTTCTTTATTTCTATAATAAGAAGTAACTATGGGCCGTGTGTGGTGGCTCACACCTGTAATTCTAGCACCCTGGGAGGCTGAGGCAGGAAGATCCTTTGAGCTTAGGAGTTTGAGACCAGCCTGAGCAAGAGCGAAACCCCATCTCTACTAAAAAAATAGAAAGAAATTAGCTGGACAACTAAAAAAAAAATTTAAAAAATATATATATATTTAGCCGGGCATGGTGGGCATGCCTATAGCCCCAGCTACTAGGGAGGCTGAGAAGGATTGCTTGAGCCCAGCAGTTTGAGGTTACTGTGAGCTAGGCTGATGCTACGGCACTCTAGCCCTGGCAACAGAGTGAGACTGTGTCTCAAAAAAAAGAAAAGAAAAGAAAAGAAAAGAAAAGAAAAGAAAAGAAAAGAAAAGAAAGAAGTAAATATGATTAGAATTGAAAAAGAAGGTGGCAGTGGAGTGACCCTCCCTGTGACCCTCTTAGCTCATTTCTAAAAGAGGTTTGTCTAAGGCTCAGTGAATTTCAAACATTGTTTTAACGCAGAAAAACTCTATTTCCAAACAAACCCCAATAATGAAACAGATAAAAGCAGAGCTGCTCTGGTTGATTTTGGGGTGGCATGGGAAAGGAGGCAGGGGAGGTCCTTCTACTTAGTTCCGTCACCCGCACTACAGAGCTATAGTTTCTGAGAAGTTTTAGGAGCACAGTTTGAAAACACTGGATTTAGGGAACTTTAGAGACTCTCCTCTCTCAAAATTCTATTAATGGAGCCTGCTGAGGAAGGCCAGGTTTTGGTGAAGGAAGACGGGCTCTCTTCTGGTCTCTGCTACATTAAGCTAAGAGAGTACCTGGAGTCATTCCTCAAAGAGAGAAAAAAGTGTGTGGCCTGAGCAAAGGCCAATACCCTTTCTCAAAGCCAGACCCAGGGAACTATAATATATGCCACATTTTTCTAGATGGAGATCAATAAGGCTCATTGATTTGTGAGACCCCGTCTTGACCCTGGCTTGCCTCCTTCTCCTCCCCCAAAGCTCAGAACTAAAGGCATCCAAGCTCATGTGGCAATTTCTCTGGAGTTGAGCTAATCAGAATCTTATACACAAGGTAGTCTGACAACAACCCAGGTGGGAGAGAGATCTGATTCGTCCGTCATCATCATCCTTCACCGAGTGCATCTAGTCTGTTTACCTGCCCAGAGGAAGCAGGCCCTGCAGGCACAGGGCTCAAAGGGTAATAGAAGAGGGTTTAATGAAAGCATTATTTACCAGGGTGTGATCAGATTTAAGAAAACCTTCAGGTCCAGGCGTGGTGGCTCACGCCTGTAATCCTAACACTCTGGGAGGCCAAGGCGGGAGGACCCTTGAACTCAAGAGTTTGAGACCAGCCTGAGCAAGAGTGGGACCCGTCTCTACTAAAAATAGAAAAATTAGCCAGGCATCGTGGTGAGCTGAGGCAGGAGGATCACTTGAGCCCAGGAGTCTGAGGTTGCTGTGAGCTAGGCTGACGCCACAACACTCTACTCAGGGCAACGGAGTGACACTCTGTTTCAAAAAAGAAAAGAAAAAGGAAAACCTTCAAAAGACTATAAAACACCTAGGGACTAGCAACAGCTGGAAGTTTTATCACCACTAGGCCTAAAAGAGGAAGGAGGAGGACTTCTTACTACCCAACAATTGTTGCTCAGGGAACTAGGTGATGTACCACTTTGACGTTACAAGTTAGGAAACCAAGAAGATAAGGAACACAGGATGTGGAATCCCGGGAGAAGGAAGTCAGTGAATCTTGTCTACTGGCTGCCAAGTCACTTTAAAGATTCCCCCTGTGGCCAGCTAAGCCACTGTTACCACTTCGATCTTCCCTGCCCCAACCGAAACGACAGCAGAAAGAGTTTATGAAGTATTGGGACTACAACTCCCGGCATGCATCTCTCCGCGTCTATTTCAAACCTTTCAACTCTACGAAAAAGGGACTTCCGGAAAAATTGCGTGTCGGGACCTGTAGTTGCCCCAATTGGGGCTAGCCGCTTGCCGTAGCGCGCTGATTGGCGCCCAGACCGCCACCCCCTTCCCTCGCTTCACGTTGGTGTCCTACGCACGCACAGGCGGCGCGTGCCCACGCCCCCTCCGGGCCTAGGACGCAGGCGCGCGCACGCTCCCCGGGCCCGGTAGGAGGGGGGGGTGGGGGGAGGAGGAGAAGGAGGGGAAGGGAGGGGGGATCGGTGTGTACTTTGGAGAGTAGACGGCGGTGGGGCACGAAGAGCGCGAAGGCCAGCCGGGTGAACTCTGCTCTGGGCCTAGAGCCAGCGAAGAGGATTCAGAACCGAGTCAGCACTCCTTGCGAGTAGGGGTCCGGCTGCTGAGACGCAGAGGTCCTCTGGGGGCAAAGCCCCGGCCTAGGCCCCGCGGAGATGTCCAGCTGTGGCGCTTGTACTTGCGGCGCTGCGGCCGCTCGGCTCATCACCTCTTCATTCGCGTCCGCCCAGAGAGGTAACAAAATAGTCCCACACCTGGGCTTTCGGCGTTGGGGGAGTGGAGCGGACGACGGGTGGGGACCCCGGAAGGGACATGAGGCCTACCCCAAGCGAGGGGTATGAGGGTATGCGTGGCCCTTCGATTGGCACCCCTCATCTTCCTCGTGGGATGGGGCTTTGCCAACCTCTGGAGCAGCAGGTTCTCAAATTTGAAGTAAACATCTTGTGCTCGTCTTCTGGCCTCCCGACTATGGGGCTGGAATGTGGCCACTTCGCAGAAACTCTGAAAGAGGCACAAAATTCCCTTTCATTGAAAAGTGTCACCAGACCTCACTCAGCCCTGCTGGGGACCGCCGCCCGCAGCGGCCGAAGCTCCTCCGGAACCTGGCTGGGTTCCCTACGGGCCTGTCGTGGGGTCTGGAGGGGGGGCTGTCGGGAGCTAGGCTGAAGGGCTGTCACTGTTGGGGTCCCTCGTGGCCTCAGGGCACCCAGCGGGCGGTCCCAGACTAAAGCCGCGCGAGACCCGAGGTGTCACTGTCATTGTGTGGCCGCTGTCGCCCGGACATAAACAAGGTTCACCGAACTTCCCTGGCGCTGGGAAAACCTTGGGAGCCTCCAGGAAAGCTGCTAGGGCGATTAGGACAACTCCCGCAGTTCTTTTTGAAGTGTTTGGGAGTATCAGCAGTTGGCTGGCTTTCCCAACTTGACAGTTGAAGGTGGTTTCTTTCTTTCTTTCTTTCTTTCTTTTTTGAGACAGACTCTCGCTTTGTTGCCCAGGCTATAGTGAGTGCTGTGTCCTCAGCCTAGCTCACCTCAAACTCCTAGGCTCAAGCAATCCTGTTGCTTCAGCCTCCCGAGTAGCTGGGACTACAGGCATGTGCCACCATGCCCGGCTAATTTTTTCTATATATATATTAGTTGGCCAATTAATTTCTTTTTATTTATAGTAGGGACGGGGTCTCGGTCTTGCTCAGGCTGGTTTCGAACTCCTGACCTCGAGCAATCCACCCGCCCCCTTGGTCTCCCAGAGTGCTAGGATTACAGGCGTGAGGCACCGCGCCCTGCCGAAGATGGTTTCTTAATAGTGACGCTTGTTTACCTTTCCTGTTTATCAGGAACTGTGAAAAAAGTGACACCCCAGCCAAGAGATTCCGGAAAAGAAAACATTTTTCTCTTCCCCAAATCTATGAATATCAGTCTAGGAGGCTAGATCTCCGGTTTTAATCACTAACTTCTAGACAAGTTCGTTTTATTTTGGCTTACCAGTTTATGACCCTGAGATAAATAAAAAAGCTACTTTTTCCTAACTTTTAGATTAATTATAAAATCCTTATTGTTCAGTAAATGTATATGCTGCCAAGTTAGTTAATATGGGGGATTAAATGAGGAAATGTGGGCAGAAGTATTTTGTAAAATGATAAATAGATGTAAGGGAGTGTATTTAGTCCTAAAACATTGTTAAACCCCAAGAAGTAGATGTCCTGATTCCAGGAATTTGATTTGGGAACACTGTGAAGTGACAGCTTTTTATTTTATTTTTATTTTTTGAGACAGAGTCTCACCCTGTTGCCTGGGCTAGAGTGCCGTGGGGTCAGCCTAGCTCACAGCAACCTCAAACTCCTGGGCTCAAGCAATCCTGCCTCAGCTTCCTGAGTAGCTGGGACTACAGGCATGTGCCACCATGCCCAGCTAATTTTTTCTATATATTTTAGTTGGCCAATTAATCTGTTTCTACTTTTAGTAGAGATGGGGTCTTGTTCTTGCTCAGGCTGGTCTTGAATCCTGACCTTGAGCAATCCTCCTGCCTCGGCCTCCCAGAGTGCTAGGATTACAGGCGTGAGCCACCTTGGGCCTATGTGTTATTCTCTTTGGGCAGGGAAGGCTTCTTTGAAAAAGTTCTTGATCTTTTCTAGCCAAGAGTCCCTGAACTCTTCATGAATCATAGGAGATAAGCAGTTTTGTTTTGTTTTTCAAAACAACCACTGCTGCCCTTTAAAATTTAAATATATCTGTCATTAGGTATATCAATACAAATTTTGGTTTAAGAATTATTATCTACTTGTATATCAATTTTAATATGTTTGCCAGGGGTTTTCAGAGATACAGAACCATCATTTTCACTGTAAAGGAGTAAATTAAGCTTCAAATATGAGATGGCACCCAATATTACAGAATTTAATATTTTTACATGACAATGAAATAGCACATGGTTTTCACAGTCAATACTTTTCTAAGCCTTAGTACACAGGATATTTTCTTTCTTTCTTTCTTTCTTTCTTTCTTTCTTTCTTTCTTTCTTTCTTTCTTTCTTTCTTTCTTTCTCTTTCTTTCCTTTCCTTTTCTTTTCTTTTCTTTCTTTGAGTCAGAGTCTCTCTCCTTTGCCGGGACTAGAGTGCTGTGGCATCAACCTAGCTCACAGCAACCTCAAACTCCTGGGGTCAAGTGATCCCACTGCCTCAGGCATGCGCCACAATGCCCCCGCTAATTTTTTCTATTTTTGGTAGAGACAGGATCTCCCTCTTGTTCAGGCTGGTCTCAAACTCCTGAGCTCAGAGGATCTGCCTGCCTGGCCTCCCAGAGTGCTAGGATTACAGGGCCAATGTATATTTTTTAAAATGTACTTTGCATATCTGAGGTCACTTGGCATTCGCAATTTGTACATTCAGAAATGATTGCTTCTATTTTAAAAATTTTGAATGAAAATAGTTGGTCTGAAAGTGGCTGTAAGAATTGTGGGAGCGTGTACAATACGCTTGATTTCTGACTGCCTTTCCTTGTCTGTTCTAAGGATGTCACCTCATAAGGGTATAAATGAAGATGTGAAGATGCTCAAACATTAGTGTCTATAATTTTCATGATAGGTACATCATGTACCTACCTTAATAATTCTTAGCTAGATTTTAATTTTTTCTCCCCCCCACTTTTTTTGGTAGTCAGTTATAATACAAGTTAAATAAGGTACAGTGAATAAATGAAGCATCTTTATTTCTGGCACTGCAAAACATTTTTTTTGTTTGTTAGTTTTTGAGACAGAGTCTCACTTTGTTGCCCAGGCTAGAGTGAGTGCCGTGGCATCAGCCTGGCTCACAGCAACCTCAATCTCCTAGGCGTAAGCGATCCTCCTGCCTCAGCCTCCTGAGTAGCTGGGACTACAGGCATGTGCCACCATGCCCGGCTAATTTTTTGTATATATATTTTTAGTTAATTAATTTCTTTCTATTTTTAGTAGAGGACGAGGTCTTGCTCAGGCTGGTTTTGAACTCCTGACCTTGAGCAATACCCCCCCTCGGCCTCCCAGAGTGCTAGGATTACAGGCATGAGCCACCGGCTGGCCTGCAAAACATTTTTTAATCAACATTTCTCTCTTTTGTTTTTTCAGTCTCTTGTAATGAGGAAAAATTTCTCTTTTTTTGGCATATTTATCTTCAGACCAGCATACTAGCCTTAATGAAAACCCATTAAATAAACATTTTTAAACTTGAGGAAAGCTATCATAGGAATAATGTTATTTCTTTATTAAGAAGTATTCAGAAGTCATGAAACAACTTGGGCATAAAATTTTGAGATTAATAAAAGGAGTATACATCTGTAAGTTGCTGGCATTGTTCATGAGCTTTTGTTGAATTTTTTTTCCAATTTGTGTTAGAGGCGAAGTGTTTAAGTGAGCATTTAACTTGATGTGGCATTTCATGAAAGCTTTATCTGTATAACAAAGTTTTGTAAATAGTTTAACTTTTAACTGTCTGTTATAATTTTTGCCAAGTAGTCTTGTGAAATATACTTTACAGAAATACTTCCCCTCTTTTGGCTTTTATAGGTTCTTCACCTGAGGTTCACAGACCCCCAAGGAGTCTATGGATAGAATTCCATGTGAACTTTATTTTTACTAACCTCTAACTGATATATAGCATTTCCTTCCATTATGAATGTAAGCAACAAATCACAATCTTAGAAATGTTTGTAAAGTTTTTTGTTTCTATTCAAGTAGACTTTAAAAGGATCATGTTCATAATTTTTATTTTTCTTGAATTCTTGAGGATAATTTTCTTTGAGTATTTCTAATAACATTAAATATTGTAAATTGTTAAGCACTATTTAAAATGATCTATCTTATTGTATAGTAAATGGGAATAATATACTATGTGTAGTTCTTCAAGGTTAAGTTTTGTTCTAAATATCCAAGTACAGATAGCCTCACATAGGGTTGTTATAATTGTAGTTTTCTTTGTGAATACATCATAGTGGTTCAATTAAAAAGTTATACTTGTTGGAAACACTCATTCTGTTTTTTAATAAGGTGTTGCCTTTTTCAAAAAAGTTATACTTGTTAAATAGAGTAAATAAAGTTATTTTATTGTGTTACTTTTCATATTTTAACCTTTTTTTTTTTTGAGTCAGAGTCTCACTCTGTTGCCCGGACTAGAGTGCTTGCTGTGGCGTCAGCTTAGCTCACAGCAACCTCAAACGCCCAGGCTCAGACGATCCTTCTGCCTCAGCCTCCCGAGTAGCTGGGACTACAGGCATGCGTGACCATGCCCGGCTAATTTTTTGTATATATAATTTTAGTTGGACAGTTACATATTTTAACTTTTTTTTTTTTTTTTTTTTTTTTTTTTTTTTGAGACAGAGTCTCGCATTGTTGCCCAGGGGCTAGATGTGAGTCCGTGGGCGTCAGCCTAGCTCACAGCAACCCAAAACTCCTGGGCTCGCGGTGATCCTTTGCCTCAGCTCCCGGGTAGCGTGGACTACAGGGCAGTGCCACCAGTGCCCGGCTAATTTTTTATATATATATCATTGGCCAATTAATCTTCTTTCTATTATAGTAGAGACGGGGTCTCGCTCTTGCTCGGCTGGGTTCGAACGCCATGACCTTGAGCAATCCCCCGCCTCGGCTCCCAAGAGCTAGGATTACAGCATATTTTAACTTCTTTATGGGGAGTTTTAAAACACAAAATAAATATCGTCGAACTCCCACAATTACTCCTTCACCCCAGACCCTCAGCAAGCCATTAACTTGATACTATTCTACTCATTTCATCTGTCACTTTACCCCATTACTTTTTCTAAGCTTACCTTTTGTACTGACATAGTCTTTAAATCATATCAGGTCCTTGGAAGAACAATTAATGTTTAAGTGAGACCCCCATCTCTACAAAAAAAAAAAAAATTTAAAAATAGCCAGGCCGTGGTGGCATGTCCTAGTAGTTCCAAGCCCTGAACGGCGCTACAGGCACATGGATTGCGTTGACGCCCAGGGAGTTTCAAAGGCTGCGATTGAGCTATGATGATG